GCACTCATACAGTGGAAAGTTGAAGGAAAAAGGGAGACCATGCATATACAAGGGATCAAGGCATCATCGTGAGTGCCTTGAAACATGCATTACTGTTTATGCCAGTATGTTGTATTAGATACAAGGAATCACAGCAACTAGTGCATTCTTCATTATCTTGAAGGGTGTAATTAATACAGACATCACTTTGATGTCTGTATTAATTACATTGGTTCTGAGGTGCTGTTTACCCAGGAACGAAACGGGTTGTATCCGCTACTTTTCTCTTTTGTATAGCCCGTTTGTTCACACGAGGCCGTAACGGAACCGCGGAAACGGACCCCTAAAACGATAACATAACGGGTCCCAAGGTGGATAGGTCTGCGGACGGAACGCTCTGGGAGGCCAAACGGCTCTGTGTGTACGTCCTATACGATCATTTTCCTGATAACGATGAAGCCATAGCCCCGCCTCTTCCCACCTATGCTGCTCACTGCTGTAGCATGGTCAGTAGCTACTGCTACTGACCATGCTACAGATGTTATTGCAAAATCTACAGCTCCTCTATCAAAACCATCAGCAACAAGTGGACATGGAGAACTACATGAACTACATGTTGCTAAATCCACCGCGGAGAATAAATAGAAGGGCAACCATGGCAACCATGCTCGGGGGTCTTCTTCACTGCTTTTGGTGTATTTTGTGGCGGAAGTACAGGCCCGGCATATGTACTACAGCGTCTCCAGCGGGTCGAGCGGTCTCGTGTGAAGGAACACGTTTATTGAGCCGTATCCGTGTGAACGGAATACCTTTTTGATATCGAATTTGGTTTGTGTGCATTTCGTTTGCATTTTGTTTGCGTTTCGTTTGCGTTCCCGTGTTAGTGGGGCCTGAGACAGTCAGGCTGCATGCAGTCCATAACAAATCTATTTCCCTCTGTGGCTGTCACACCTAAGACCACTTAAAGGTTCATCACATACATTACATTACATTATTACATTGCATTTAGCTGACGCTTTTATCCAAAGCGAAGTGCGTTCGACCAACAAAATACAACTTGAAGAAAACAGAATCATATAAGTACATCAGGCTTCATAGAGCAAAAACATTTCAAGTGCTACTCAACTGGCTTTAGATAAGTCAGTCCTTTATTAGTATAAAAGTGCTTCGTTAATAGTTATATCGCTCGAAGTGGAGTCGAAAGACATACATACTACATCCAACGTCTACATCTGACCCCAACACACTGTGTGTGTACTGTAGTGGGAATAAGGCTTGAGTGCTGCAGTACTCTTCTGTGGATGATGGATTGACCTGATTGATGCAGAGACTGAAATTAAGTGTCTGTTTCCTCTTCATCATTCTTAGAAATAAGGATATTTCCCCTTTGATGGGAATGTCACGTGTTTTCTCCCTTTATAAATAGCCTATGTGTTTTGTTGTTGCAAAGTCGAGTTTTCTTTCATCTGTGGTTAATTCGTTTTGTTCATATTAAGATGAATGCAAATACATTCTTAGTCCCATAAAAGCAGAGCCGGCCCGACCCATTAAGCGACATAAGCGGCCGCTTAGGGCCCCGCAGCCACTAAGGGGCCCCCTAGAAAAAAGAAAAAAAAATGTACAGTACACCGTCACCACGATAAGTATGTTCAATTAATTGTGTTAATATGCCTAGATTGCCTACTTTCAAAGTCATCTATTATATTAATGAGTCAATAATATAATACATTAACCGTGCTTTACCTGAATCTCATCATGACACAAGAGAGGACGGCAGGATTGTAATTTCCCGTGTTCAGTGAAAACAGAGGCAAGACACCAGACCAACCAGAGAGTTGAATGGAAATAAACATCTGTCTTATTGGCTGACAGGCACCTATCCTGTGAGCTGTGACAATATTTAAAATAAACTGTCAGTCTCAGACTCAGAGTTTTTGAAGATGGACATAAGAAAACATTTTCTTAAAAAATACGACAATTCTCAAGTGGTGGCTCACACAACAACCCCAGAGCCACCACTTGAGCCAGGTAAACAAGGTATGTCAATGACAGTAAACTTTCAAGTTATGCGAACATGTAAGCAAAGGATAAATTACAGCTACGTTGACGTTACTTTGAATCGCAGGGTAAGCTAAACCGTTAGCAAGTAGCTATAGCTAGCCAGATATATTAAATAAACACTTTGTCATACAATCTAAATGTAATGTTTTTTAGCGTTACCTGGTGATTTCAAAGAAAGCTCTCTGGGAAATGTTGACTTACTGTTCGACATGAAGCTAGAAGCTACCTCACAGTACACAGTTGATCCGGAGTCCTGTCAGTTAAAGTGTTTCATAGTTAGCTTAGCTAAGCATCAACCTAGCACTAAAATATATGGATGTTATGTGACAGTATTTCTGAGAAAAAGTCAGCTGAAATGGTGGCATAGTTGCCACTGCTTTCAGCATGTTTGAACATATTTGCAGCAGTAAATAGGCGCATTCACACCGCAGTACTTTTCCCACAAAGGTTCATGAGAACTCTTTAGTTCTCATGACTAAGTACAGATCGCGTTCACACCGGAATAAGTCCCTGGGGGAGGATTAGGCAAATGAGCCGCTGACGTCACTTCTTCTTCTTCTGCTTTGGGTTTACTGGCAGGCCGCAAACCACTTCACGGCGTATACTGCCGCCCAAAGTCCCCGGCCGGAAGTCCCCGGAGTTGGGGACTGGCTTCAGTAGAAGCTGCTGGGACTCCCAGCAGCTTCTACTGAAGCCTTCCGAGTAAATCGCCAGAACGCCGACACCTCCTCATCTCCACTGCTCCCATGTTTTATTTTGTGTTGCCATAAATTAGTCTCTCTGCGTTTCTGCGCTGGGCTAATGCTAATGCTAATAATGCTAATGCGAGGATAATAAAATGGCGGCTTCACAAAACTTTTTGGGAGTTTTACGGGGCGTGGTTTGCATTCCGCCCAGCCAATCAGACATAGGAACCTTTTTCTCCCACGAGAGTCCCTGCTCTCTAGCAGGGACGGAAAAGGGGGTGAAAAGGTTCTCATGAACAAATTTTAGTTCCGGCTCTTTTTGGTGTGAACGCAACATTTCGGAACTATATCGGAACTAAAGTGGGAAAAGTACTGCGGTGTGAACGCGCCTAGTGTGGCTGTTTGGCCACAGACGTTGCCATAACAACACCTGAATTTAAATGTGCAACCTCTTTTTGTGACAGATTTTGGCAAGAAATTATAATTCTTCTGAATGATATTCCTATTGACAGCTAGTTTCTATGTGAACATTATGAGATGGAGAGCCAGAGAGAATACATGAAAAACAGTTATGAAATACTATATGACAAAACAAGAATACAGTTTAAGTGATTTGTAAAATATCCATAAAGAAAAATCTGTTTACATTACATTACATTGCATTTAGCTGACGCTTTTATCCAAAGCGACTTACAATAAGTACATTCGACCAGGAAGACACAACCTTGAAGAAAACAGAATCATATAAGTACATCAGGTTTCATAGAGCCAAACATTTCAAGTGCGAGTCAACTGGCTATAGATAAGCCAGTCCTTTATTAGTATATAAGTGCTCTGTTAGCAGTTATTTGTTAGTAATTATATCGCTCGAGGTGGAGTCGAAAGAGTTTACAGTTATTTTTCATATGGGTGTTGAGAGATGTATCCATAGATCTCTTATTTTTGCTCTCAAAATGCACCAGATTGATGCTTTTAACTTCAATATTTAAAAAAAAATCTTCCCGGGGAAGCATGCCCCCGGACCCCCCTAGAGGAGGTTAGGTCCACGGTGTTTACATGCTTATTTATACAATATGTGTGCTTATGCTAACATCATAAGACAAAAGTTGGTTCCGTGTTGTGTGTAGTGAGAACGCGCTAGAGTGAGGGGGGCCCCCAAGCCAAAGCTCGCTTAGGGCCCCCAAAAGTCTAGGGCCGGCCCTGCATAAAAGTAAGCTTGCACCTCCTTTCCACCTTCCATCCCTTTCTTACAAGATGACATACTAATTGACTTTCCTAAAGTTATGTTCAACCTGCAACTACGCTTTCAGGGGGATAAAGAGACGAGAAACATGACAAATAGTCTGGGAATTAATTTTCTGTTCTGGATATTTACCAAACTGTATATCTTGTTGATATGTTCATTCCCTCACAGGAGTTTCTTATCTGTCAGAACCTTTTCTGCTATCCCCTCTCTGACACTTTTCTGACTCTTTCCCTTCCTCTCAGTTGTTTCAAGTCTTTTGTAAATGACAGAGTGGCTCATGTTTTTTGTTCGACTATGGTACATAAATCAGTGTGAGAAGGGGGTTTCAGGTGTGGGAGTGGTATGACCTCATGTACTAACTAACACACATAGAACGAATACACGCACGCACGCACACCACGCACCACGCACCACGCACACCACCACCAACACACCAACACACACACACACACACACACACACACACACACACACACACACACACACACACACACACACACACACACACACACACACACACACACACACACACACACACACACACACACACAGCACTGAGGGTGACACTGGTGGTCAGACATATTTTTTCCCCTTCAGACAGCACTAATCGATTAGGTAAGCTCTGCCTCAGTATGAACACAACTGTGGGTGTGTGTATGTGTGTAAGTGGGCATGTTATGTGTGTGAGTGTGTGCGCTTGATCACTTCATAATTGTCTCCTGCAATCCTAAATGAAATGGCTTTAATGTGGACCAATGAGCTAGACTAATCTGGGAGCCTCAGATTGCCCAAACTTTCATTAGGGAATTGACTTAACTGGAACACACTTAAATATACATACTCAAACACAATGTCAAAAGCTGAACCTGTTAATGAATGTTGACACAGAAAGTGCTCTTTAGTCTTTCCCTCTCTCTGGACACGGGGCCCAAGTATGTGCACTGCAGAAAATCCCTAATAGCCATGAAGCCTGCCTCTGTGGAGGCATTTAAAAAAAGAGACACACCGTAAAGTGGGTCATAGCACTGGCACCCCTGCGCAGTGGTGACTGTTTTCTCCCACAGATACACACCGAGGAATAACTGAGCACAAACAAAACAAAACAAAAACAGATGTGACACGAGTTCAGTTTGGAGGGGAATTCAAACTGTCGCCAACACAGCTGAACCGGACAGTCCGGCAAAGCTGATGAAATGTCCGAAATGGCCAACTTTGGCGGTTTAAGCCACTAGGCTGTGCGTTATCGTTCACACTCGCCTACTCCACACCAGTCTTAAGCTATTGCTTATTAACAAACACTCTCCGTCGGTCGAACGAGCGTGTGAGGAATCGGCTTATCGTTTCGATTCTGTGTTGTGCTGAGAGAGGAGAGGCTGTGCGCGCTGTGGATGTGAGAGCTTTGATGATTAGTGAATCCACTCCGCAGATCGTTCAGGGAAGGCAGATGCTGAGGAGCAGTTTGTGTCTGGGCTCGTTTTTTGGGAGAAAAAAAAAGTGACACTCCACCATCATGGTGCGTCCAATCATCGTGCAGAAATGAACTACTCAGGCATGTTTTCACGGTTTTTCTAACCGATGCAATTAGGTGATAAACATGTCCATAACGCATGGAGGGACCTTGTGAGACCAACAACTCTTGTCCTAAATGGCAGAACTTGAAGTTTGCAGAAATCTCAGTTTGGAGAAGGGTAAGTGATCATTTTCAAGCTTTTCCTCAATTCGTTATTTAATCATTTTAGTCTCATATGGAGGGGCATTCCTTTGGACGCCTCCTAGCCTATACATTTTTAGCATGAGCCTATGCGTAATGACTCCATTGCGCTTATTTGTGTGAAGAAATGTCATGCTGCTACAGACACTTGAGAAGAATGTTGATTGCAGATTTTTCATGAAGGATTTATTGTGATAAATGAAGTGATGTTTATCGACATCTGGGGTACAACACGTCAACATATTGATGCCACATGATGATGATTTATTCTTATGTGAATTTATTCTCATAATTTTCTCAGTTTACATAACAGCTTTTGATGATGATCGGCAGGGGATCAACTGAAAACTGTCCCCCATGCTGAAAATGCCCCTTTGTATTTGTCACTAGGGGGCAGGAAAGCCTCTTAATTTGTCGATTTTACAAGACTTGCTCTGTCCTCAGTCTATAGCAGCACATAGGTGTGGATGTACCTTCTCCTTTTAAATCCTGCATACTCCACAATCTATACAAATCCCTCGGATGTTTACAGATTCAGTCATTACAGTGTTTTGGAGAGAAAATGCCAGAGAGACTGACAGAACACATAATATTATCACATAGCTCCGTTACAGAGCTGGATTGTTTCTTGTTTGCATCAGAAAAATCAGAAGCCCCTTGAAACCCATGGAGGTTATTTTTAACTCCATACACTGTGACAGTGTGGGCTTGAGATTTAATGGCAACATTCATGTCCCTTCAGTCCTTCTGCTTTTAGAGTGACCCCTTTTGCTCGCCCCTACTGTCACAATGATGGCGCATCCCTGGCACTTAAAAAGTGGGATGTGTCAAGCTGTCAGATTTCCCGCCTGCAGAGCCTGTTTTGTTTTATCTATGTGAATGTTTGGGTGTGAGGGAGGCCCCTGCTTATTTCAGTGGCTAAGAGGGCTGCCTCTTCATTCATTTCGGCAACACTTGTGCTATAGTTGCATGGCATCACAAGCCCTTGCTGAGAGAGGAGAGAAAAGGAGGGAGGGAGAAAGGTTTAGAGGAACATGCATGGCTGCTAATCTCCTCCACATGGAGGAAATGGCTTTTCCATGTAAAATGTGTTTTCCCTCATGTGTCTCTCCTGCATTGATGATGATGAATCTCAGCATGCCCCCTTCTTTTGTCTCTGCCTCTTCCTTACTGTCGCCCCCGGGCAGAGAAACAGCTCCAGAGATCAGGGGAGGAACACACTCTCATCCTTTCAGCCCTTATTCAATTTTTTAAATACATTTTCTTGTTATTTTCAATCTCCTTTCCTCTCCTTCTTTATTGGTACTGACTGAAAAGTGTGTGAAAATTATTATCTACCCAAAGCAGACATTGAATATCAAGTGATTGATTTAAAGCAGAATATCATGTCAAATGCAAAGGATGTGGAAATTACATTCTGAAACTTTCAATGAAATACCTCTCTTCTCCCGAGGCCAGATTGGTACTTTATTTTACACTGACTGAATGTGGTTCTTAGCACGTATTGAGTATTGAATAACTGTCAAGTGCTCAAGCTGGTGTTACATATTTTATCTGGTAGTTCTTGATTCAAATTAGACTGTTTTTATGTAAACAAATTGCTAAGATATATCTCTCCCTGCTCTTTTAATACCTAGCATTTAGTTCAGCAAATAGCTTTGTTGCATTTTATATTGTTCCTAAACTATATTCACATCTCAAGGAATCTTAAAGCACCATCATTTCCATTTGAATTTCACTGATAACCAGTTACTGAATTTGCCTGCATGTTGACTTAGCCGCTGGCACGAGACATTTGTTAATTACTGTATATTGGATGTGAGTGTTAAACATTTCCATATAAAACCTCCTGGGACACTATGATATAAAGCTGCAGGTTTATATATTTGTGTTTAGGTGAGAAAGCTACTCAGATCTGGGTTCATACCTCCATACCACACCTTTCAGCCAGAATGTAGTAGCTACAGTTCAGCATCTCTCCAACATTTGAACCTGAAGTTGAGACGAGACAGTTTGCATGGAAGTCTGGCTCTGCTGCGATAATTATGTATTGTATCTCAATGTACTACTATTCATCCAGCCTGGCTCAGGGAGGAAGATACTGTAGAAGCAGCTTGAACATTTGACACACACACACACACACACACACACACACACACACACACACACACACACACACACACACACACACACACACACACACACACACACACACACACACACACACACACACACACACACACACACACACACACACACACACACACACACACACACACACACACACACACACACACACACACACACACACACACAGGCTTGGGTTCCTTCCTTTGATGTCAGTGCTGAACTCCTCCACTCGGGGAGTCCCCTAGTAGCATCTTTGATGAATGCATTATCATGCTGCAGTTGTCATGTGTTTATTTTCATTCCGGTGCGGCTCTGCACTCTGTGCCATGAGGGGATCTGGGAACCCATTTGTAGCTTTGGCGGCTTGAGCGCTGTCTTGAGCGTGCTTAATTAGGCGAAGTGAGTGACTGTGAGATAACAGTATGCGTTTTCCAATTTTTCTCTCATAATTTTCCTGTGTTTCCTTATACCTTTTAATGTCCCTAATAAGAGGGAACATATCATATTTTGGACTTCCTTGCACATTTTTTGCAATGAATTAGTTAGCTTTAAAATGCATTTCCATTTGAGTTTGTCCCCCATGTGTGAATCATTTAGATTGACAATAATTATAGTAATGGGCAAAGCAGTTTCAGTACAATGCAAGCTTGTCTCTCTACTACAAACCAAATATTTATTTTTACCTTAATACAGCACATATATTTTCATGACTGTCCATCACACAAGTCTCAGGTTAACTTTTACTGAACTTAAACACATCAAAAAGTTCAGTACAGCTTGCCAGTGAGCTGAGAACGGCCATTTGTAAAGGGTAAACCATGATATCTGAATTTAGAGATTGATTGCAAACTGACTTGAATACACATGCTAGAAACTCTACTCTAAGACCCCATTTACACGGTAACGTTTGCGTTTACGCACCGTATGCGTTTTCCAAAAAGTCTTCCGTTCACACGCATTCGGCTCAATTAACGTGTCCGTTCACACGAGACTGCTGGAAACGCTGGAAACGCTATAGTACATATGCCGGGCCTGTAAGTGGCGCTGCTGCTGCCACAAAATACACCAAAAACAGCGAAGAAGACCCCGGAGCATGGTTGCCATGGTTGCCCTTCTGTTTATTCTCCGCGGTGGACGGCGTGTGCTCCTGCTGTAAATCTCTCCGGTAGTCCACCAGCAGATGAAAAACACCCACCTCTCTGCCTCTTCCAAGGGACGAGGGAACCGTGCGGCAGAGTTTCCGTTAAAAAAAAAGTTCGCCGTTCAACATGTCCGTTAAAGTTTAAATCTTCCGGACAAAATTAGTAAAGTGCCGGTCAGAGGTCTTCTTTGTTATTTATTGAGCTTTAAAACAAATTGATAACGACTCTATATAATAATATAAGAATTATAAACGGAGCCTCTCTTTCCCTCCCCCTCTTCTGACAGCCCAGCAGCTGATCTCTGAGCAGGAGACGTGGGGAGAGGGAGGCGGGGCTATTTAATCGTTATCAGAAAATGATCGTATAGAGGCGTACACACGGAGCCGTTTGCCCCCCCAGAGCGTTTCGTTTGCAGATCTATCCACCTTGGGACCCGTTATCGTTTGCGGGGTCCGTTTCTATCGATTTGTTACGGCCTTGTGTAAACGAAAGGGCTATACGCAAGAGAAACTATGTGGATACAACCCGTATCATCCTCGTGTAAACGGGGTCTAATAACATGCTCACATCAGCATACTATCATGCTTGCAATGGTAATGTTATTGTTTAGCATAATGTTTATTATATCCACCATGATCGTTTACTATGTTACAAAAATGATATTTGCAGTAAAACAGAAAGTAAAGCTGTAGCAGATGGAAATGTCATTGCTATATTTGGTCATTAAGTTGAAAAAAGTACGGTGATCAAAGTTATTATTTGTCATCTTAAGTGAACCATGAATGTTTTTCTTAAATGTCACAGCAAGTAAGTAAGAGGATCCCCAAACCCATTAGAGCACATTCTATGGACACCATGAATGTCTGTACAAGTTGTTTCTTTATTAATCAAATCGCATTGAGGCACTGCACACAGCTAATTCAGTTATACAGTGTGATGCAATGCTAACACAACACAAGACAAGAAAAAGACAAGTGATCTGTTCACTTCATTATAACTTGTTTTTTTATTGTCCTCAAACTAGAAAATACCAAGTGAATGACATTGTGGTTTAGTGGGGAGGCGGTGGCGCAGTGGATTATTGTGTTGGTGTTCGGATCAGGGGAGCACAGGTTCAAACCCCACTGCAGTCAGCATGTCGTTGTGTCCCTGAAGACACTTCACCCCAAATTGCTCCTGTGGGGATTGCCCACAGTATTGAGTATGTAAGTCGCTTTGGAAAAAAGCATCTAACAAGTAACATGTAATGTGTCTAGCTTCAATCCTCTCTGTGTGCAGTCTGCATGTTATCACTGCATTCATGCAGGTTTCCTCTATGTTTCATTTCAATGGAACACCTTAGGTGGATTAGAGACTCTAGCTGTCCCACCGGAATAAATGTCTGTCTGTCTGTGTTAGCCCTGACTCACACTGATTTATTCTGGACCTCCACCTTTAATGCATGCTGGCAAAGGCTCTAGGCCTCCATGACCCCAAACAGCAACAAGCAAAGAGACAAAATTACTAAATGTCACTTCATTATTCGGTCATTATGATTGCTATGCTTGAATAAATATGACCACCCAGTTGTCACTTTACTAGCCATCTCACTGGTGGAGCAGGTGATGGAGTTTTCATTTTGCCAAGGCTCAGTACTGTCTGTCACAAATGTGCCACTGGCTTTTGTCCCTCCGTGCAGCCTGATTTCCACTAACAATCATCCCAA